AATATATCTGTTTGGAGGCCAGGGGGTGGGGTAACTCCTCAGTTAGGAGACTATAGAGCACAACTTCAATTTCAGTGTCTACATGCATATTACTGCATTTCTCTAGAGTTAATATTCACAAAATGTCATTTGGAAATCATATGTGATGTGAAAGAAAGAAAAAATGAGTTGCACTTCTCTCACAATATTTTTATCAAGTGAAATGCACTAACAAATAATTATAAGATAGAGACGACTGCTCAAGAGTTAATTTTACATTTACATTTGATGTAAGCATACAGACCAGATAGTAAATTTTGCTATGTTCATGTTACTCCAACAAGAAAAGAATACAACACATAGCAGATCAGAGATTAAGAAACAGTATTCAAGAACATTTACTATTCCTATCCTGAAGTGTTTCCATAGCAGCCGAAACAATTATTAAAACAGATACACCAAAAGGAAGGCAAAGAAATAATATGAAAGCTATCTATCTGAAAATAATTCACAAATTTGAAGAGTTATATTTGACTTGTTCATTAAGCTAATCATTAAACATTACATACTTTCTAATACATCACACAGGTCTTTGAAGTGATGTTCACAGCAGCACAGGAATTTTTTAGAGCAAGGAGATTTTTAGAAAGCAGTATTTACGACAGACAACATATTGACTGCTGCGGATTCACATCATAGAAAATGTAAGGTATCCTAGATCTGCTTTGCAGGACAAAGATTTTCATACTGGAGTAAGCTCACTGTTTGTTCCTTGTTTTATCCCATTTTAGACTACAGAAACCCAAGGACACCCTACATGTGTTCATTCCCCTCCTGCCCTCCCACAACTTATCACAGAACACTGTCTTCAGTGGCCTTAAGAAAAGGGACATTAATTCCTGCTACTCTGGACAGTGCCACTAAATAGCTGTCTTTCATATCCACCCTTTAAGCTTTCATAAGATACACCTAATTAAAAATCAGAGACTCAGGTTTAGAAATGCAAGCAATCATATCTTGTTAAGATATGTTAAGAAAAATTTGGCTTTTTGGTTTCATCTGCGAGCCATCTGCCCATCTATGTATTAACTAGCAGGCACCATCACTCCTGCCCAAATGTCAATGCTCTTTCCTTGCATTCTTTCTGTAAGAACACAGCATCATCCACAACCAGTTTTTCTTTTATTAAAGTCACGAGTCTGTCAGAAAAACAGAAGCAAGACTGTTTTGACAACAGTGAGCACAGTGGCCTTCCATCTGCCTACAGCCGAGTTACAAACTCTAAACAGCTAACAGTCTCCAGTGTAAGTGAGGGTGCAACACAAAGGTACTAGACAGGTTCCCAGTGGTAAAAAGAAATACACCGATAACCATGTGTGAGGGAGGAGGGATGGTTTCTAATGTAAGTGTTTTTCTCCTTGCGTCAGTTCTCATCACTAGATTTCAGATGCGCAGACATGTGGTGTCAGGTCAAGAAGAAGTAATGACACCATTTATGTTCCCCTTCCCATGGGAAATCACCCCACAGCAACAAAACTGGTCAACTGCCACTCACTTCTATACAACAGATTCAACCTTAATAGCATTTCACATTCAATACAGGGCCCCAAGGACCTCATGGATTTAAAAAGCCATCCAGTGCATTATTCTGTTTAGAAAGAATACTTTCAAAGTACATGATTCTTGCCTTAAGAGTGAAGAAAAAAAGCCAGCATCATTAAGCAATCCTTGAAATTTCATGCAAGAAGCTGAGTGTAGAAACCATTATCCAGGGGTATCTGGAGTGCTCAGAACAATTTTATGTTGACATTTGTGTGGGGACAGCTGGGTAGGAAACAAGTCTGTGAAAGCTGGAGAACACCTACAAATGACACAGCACGTAGAAGGGCAGGCTAGCAGATGGGGTAGTACGAGGGCACTGCATACGCAGTAAAAAGAATAAAATGCAAATATCCCGGAAGAAAGAGGGTAGGGAAATGCAGATAAGGAAAGGTGACTCTAGTCTAAATATTGTTACACAGCCTAGAGAAGAACAAGCTAAGGAAGGACTTGGAGATCGGGGTTGATCTCTACTTCTGTTACCACCATGAACTGACAAAAGCTTACCAGATGTGTACTTTCTGACACAGATACTACCACATAAATTACAACGTTAACCACAAAGACAGTTATCAATCAGTAGATTGTACTGATGTAGGATTAATTTCTCCCACAGCACCATCACCCCCCACATACAAGAAAACACTGTGGCAGAACCTGATGCATTTAACCTAGCCAAAAGTGTCAGGGGTTTAGCTTTATCTGAATACTAAAAAAAAACTGAACATTTTTTCCACACATATAGTTAGCTTTCCTTCAGTCACATTTTTTCCATCATTCCTCCACACAAGCAAAGAGACCCTGCAGTCTTTGAAACCTAATAAACCTTTCAATTAGTTCTAAATGAGGTCTTAAGATAGCCCAAAAAGTTGTAGTTGCAAGAGTGTTGTGTTCTATCGGCAAGTTCCTTTTTTCACTAGAAAGACAACAGGGGTGTAATGTCAGCAGATAGTAAAAAGAGCATATTTTACAGATATCAGTATCTCCTGATATAAGTGCTTGCAAACACAATCAGCAGCACCGTGACATCCTCTGCAATCATCTCCATACTTGACTTCATGAATAAGCTGTTCATTGGTGATGAAGCCCACATTCCCTCCTTTTCATAAAATTTGAGCTGAAATGAATACACTATTTTTTTTTAATGGAAAAGATGCTACTCAATTCATTCAGTTTAACCAGTCCTGTACCATAGCTTCTGAGTATTAAACCACGTTCTGTTTCAGGGCCTAATCCCATAACATCATCTAGAGCTGCAAAGCTCAGAGAAACTTTACTGATCAACTTCTATAAATGGTGCAACGCCTCTTTCAGTTTTCCACTCTCAGTGTGGGTGTTACTTTCTGTGAAAGAAAGGGAAAAAATATGAGGAACAGATATTTAATTCAACAGAACAGTTTTTAATCCTCAAAACATTGATAGCTATTACAAGTTTCAAAGTTCTCCACTAGTCTAGGGATTTTTGTGAAAAAAAAAAATGCCAACTTCTTACTCTGTCTTTGGACAAACGAACTACAACAACCACAGGTGCAGCTCACATTTTGAAAACACTGGCATCTAGGTTTCATTTGGAAGTCAATTTAAGCAACAATGCTCCACAGCTTCTCTACTGGGCCAGCAGATACTTCCATATATTTTCATCACTCAAGGACTAAGAGTGCCATTACCTTTTTTTCTGATACTACAAAAACCTCAGACTGTCTTAAACAGGCTCTACAGCAAAAGCTGACCTCTGATAAATTAGAGTATAACCTTAAGCAAAATATTTACTGAGCTTATCGACACAGACCTCTATAAGTAAACCCTTAGCATGCTGATAACAATCATCGAGTCTACTTTAGAAAAGATTTGTGCAGAGATGTTAGGAGGAGTGCAGCAAGTTGCGAAGGAGATGTGAGGAGAGGAAATATATTAGCATTTCAAATATCTGGAAATGTACGATGTAGCCTGTAAGGCAAGGGAGGCCTGATAATGCTGGAGCAAGTATCTCTAGGTGGCTCCGTTCACATACTTCTGTATTCACATGTAAGAGTCTTACTCAATCTCTTCAGTTTCTTTTAAGCAGAAACAACAGGGTTGCCAAATTCCACGTTTTAGGGAAATGATGCCAATGCATACAGATGATTGTTATAATGAAAGGTACCTAACAAGAGTCTAAGTGTACTCTGAAAAAACTCTTTTACACTGCTGGATATTAAAGTAGTGCACAATTTCTCAGGTTGTTACAGTCATTATTGAGTTCTCCCACCTGTTTTTGTAGACCAAGTTAATGGCTGGTGACAATCTGAGTTGAAATGGAAAAAAGATCAAATGTTTTTCAAACATGATCAACTTCCATACTATTTCATGGGAAAACTTGTGCTTCAAGAGGGAGGGAACAGGTCAGCAAAAAAGAATAGGTGTTGAGTATTTAGCAGTTGTGAGGAATGAAAAAATAACCTGTAAATAACCGACACGCACCGTGCAGCTGCCTTTAGGGGACACACAGCGGGGTTCTGGGGATGCTGAAACACCTACAAACGCGGCACAACCTCACCGAGTAGGCGCAAACAACACGCGCACAGCCCCGCAGGCCGGCAACGTCCCTTCCTCATTCCTCCTGAACAGCGACAGGAGGGGAAAAAGTTCAGCGCCGGCACCATCCCCGAGCCCGCGGGGCCGGGCCTGGCCTGCCCGCCCGGGTGTGCCCCGGAGCCGCCCGGGGTTACCCCGGTCCCGCACCCGGGCGCCACGGGACGGGGGCAGCGCCGTCCCTTCAGCGGGGGTGTTGGAAAACAAGAACTAAGGAGGACGAGGAGACCCTCGACACGGCGGGGGCTGCGCGGCCGCGCCTCGTTCGCCCCGCGGTGCCACAGGTGCTGCGGGGCTGGGGGCTGCGAGCCGGACGGCAGCGAGGCCGAAGGCACCGCTCCCCCACCCAGCAGTCCGTGGTACCCCCAGGCCCGGCAGTACCGTCGGGCGGGGTCTTCGGGCAACCTTCCCGCACCAGCTGGGGACACGCACAGGTAGCGCCCCGCACCGCAGGGACGACCCCTCCCGGGAGAGGCGCCGCTGAAGGCACCGCTGCAGGGGGCTGGTTTTTGGCTGCGGAGGGGAGGAGGAGAGCAGGTGCTCACCTCCCCGCTCGCTCGGGGGAGAGAGGAGAAGGACGCAGACGGCTCCAGCCGGCAGGACGGGGGCGGGCGGCGGTCATGGCGGGGAGGCGCCGCGCACCTGGCAGCAGGTGCACGCAGGCGGGGACGGCGGCGAAGAGGACGAAAGTAGCGAGGCTTTCCCGGAGAACCGCGCCTGTTGTGCGGCCGGGGGGGGGGGGGGCACTCACAGGTGCCCGTCGCCAGGGAGAGGGGGACGATGCGGAGGAGGGTAGAAGGTAGCTGCTGGCGCTGTTTTGCAGGCGGGGGAGGCGAGCGCACGCTACTCACCGGCAGCTCCACGTTGACTTCGGTCCCGTCCAGAAGAAGGACGCGGCACTGCAGCACCGGCTTGCTGCCGCCGGCCGCCGGGATGTGGACGGGGGCTCCGGCGCTGTGCACGACCCCTCCGGGGTGCGGCGAGGAGGGGAAGCCTCCCGAGCCGACGGCGGCGGCGGCGGCTCCTCGCAGCCCCCCGTCCCGCTCGTCCCCCTCGCCGCCGAGCCCACCTCGCCCGGCCCCGCGCCCGGCTCCTCGCCCGTAGCGCTGCATCGAGCGCCGGCCAAAGGTCCTGCGCAGGAACCGCAGCATCCTGGGGGCGCCCTGCCCGGCCGCTCACACCCCCGATCCCGCAGCTCCGCGCCCGGCCCCGCGGCGCCTCCCAGAGCAACGCAGCAGCGCCGCCCGCCGGGAGCCAGCCCGCGCCGGGCGCCGGCCGGACCGCCCCGGGCCGCCTGCTCCGCCCTCTGCAGCGCCGCCCGGCTCCGGCACCGCCACGGCGGGGCGGGGCGGGACGCGGCCCCTCCTGCCACCGCCCACCGGGATGGGGGACTGGCGCAGCGGGCAGGGGGAGCTGCTGAGGCGGGCGGTGGGCGGCCACCTGCGCGGGTGGCCGGGGCGGCCGCGGCGAGAGCTCCGCAGCGCGGATCGGCGCTTTCCCCTGCCGCGCTGCTCCTCCAGCAACTACTCCGGCGCCGGCCGGTGGGGCGGTGTCTGTGTGACAACCCCTCGCCACCGCCCCCGGGCCGGGGAGGGGACCGAGGCGGCGGGGGCGCGAAGCCCCTCTCCCCTGGCCGGGCTTGCCGGGCGACCCGTTCTTCGCGCCGAGCGCTCTGCGCTGCCCCCGCCCCGCGTCCCTCCCGCGCCCGATCTGCCGGTCCCGCCCCTTTGGACAGGCGGGAGAGGAGATGGGGGGAATTATTTGCGAAATATAAAAAAATACAAGGCGGGGGGGATGGGGAAGTGGGCGCAGGCAGAAGGACGCATCTCGCCGGTGCTGGGTGTGGCCGAAGCGGCGGGTCCCGCGCGGAGGAGGAGGACACCGACCCGCCTCTCCCGCCGCCGCCTACATCCCTTGTGCACCGACACGTCTGCCCGGTGTGTGAATGCCCCCCGTTTGCCTTTGCGATCAACGCGGTCTGGTGGTTGAAGGCAACCGATGTGAGAACTTGGTCCCGTGGAAAAAGCAGTCCCTCCAGACTGTCCCGGGGTAACACTCCATTTCGTTTCTGTAGCTATGAGGAAGGAGTATGGGTTTAGTTATCTGTCATAGGAGATCCATAGGTACAAATACTCTCACGGTTGCCTTGCCAAAAAGTTAAATGTTTATGTATTCTGGCTCGGGTGGGAGCGTTTTTGCTGAATTGCTATGTATAAAATACTGGATGTGGATCATGTCTTGCAGAAACAATCAGTGAGACTAATTCTGTCACCCTATGGTCAGATGTGATCTAAAGGACTTTGAACTGAAATAATTTGCTGCTTCTAAAGTGTTTTTTTTTCTGCTGTAGACGTTATTTCCCTTAACCTTACTTCCAGGCCCGTTTACACAAGCATTGTCCTATTAGGTATTCAGAAAGCCTGCCAAAATGTCTCAGCTTGTCATTTTTTATTGAGACTTGATAGTATTAGGTAACTGCCTGCTGCTTCTGCATCCTCTTCCGTGTTCCTTCAGTGCCCTGAATCAGGTCTTGAAGTGTCTCATCAGCCAAGACAGTCACTAAACTGCATGATCTTTGGCAGAGATGTACCTGCAGCCCTTCTGCACTTCATGGCTGCATAAAAGAGCTTTTACAGAAACAGAGTGGAAAGGTGCTAATCTTTGCCTGCTAATGTTAACAATCAAGAGTAGACATTTATTACAGATTATGTTTGGGGATTTTTTTCCTAATTATTTTCATTGCATTAGGAGCAGAATTTTAATTTGTTTTCAGATCCTGAATGGTGCAGCATACCTTGGGGTTCTTTCACTGCTTTGAACACTGTGAATATAGCCCAGTCCCATAAAGCTGGTTTACATGCCGCAAGAAGCACAAATGATCTTAGTGGTTGGAAATTCAGCAGAAGTACTGTTGTCTCTTGAGGGAGCTACAGCAATTTCGGTGCAAAAGAGATTGGGGTGGAAGACGGGTCTTGCATCACTTGGGACTGGCCTGGCAGAAAACCGAGTAAGTCTTTTGCCATGCTAAAAATCTTCTTTACTCTGAAGCTGTGAGACTTCAGCCCTTAGTATCTTTCAACTTCTGTCACGAAAACAAAAGTCTGATATTTTAAAATGTATAAACCTAGGCTCACTTGATTTGCATTAGCAACACACGTGATGCAGGCCAACGGCCATACCCCAGAGGCAGTCCTGTATTTACAGAACTGCTATAGAGATGCTGAAGTCCTGTTAAATCTCATGTTAAGAAATATGAGGTAACACTCACAGTAAAGGATCTTCTGGAAGGAACTGGTGGTGGGAGGAAATAAAGCTGGTTCCTTAGTAGCCAGCCTCTCTTGGAGTAAAACAATTCCACCGTTATTTTGTCTCATGTTACCAGCAGAGCTATCTTTAGCCCTGAAACAAAAACCTTGAACAACTGTGGGTACTGAGGATGCCTTTATACAAGATGAGAGGTATTTAAACTAGCATTTACATTTACAAAAATTCGGACTTATATGTTCCACCTATCTACATCCTCTCTCCATGTTCAAATAGGCAAGCCCTAAAGGGATTCACTTTGTTGGTAGATATATCATGCAGTCCCTCCTCAGTGTCTGCTTCTTGCTGACTTTCCAATGAGAGACACAAGCAGAAACTGCCATGGTCCTCATCTGCACTGTAGTTAAGAGCATTACTTTTAAATCTTTATCAAAATAGTCTTCCACTGCAACATTCACCTCCCATGAAGTGCTCCAGTCTCCACTGGGAGTCATGATTTGATCACTACCCCAGGAGAGGTGGTGACCTAGGCAAACCACTTGTACGAACCCATATTGAAGTTCTGATAGCAGTCCCTCCAAGTAACAAGTCTTACCAATGACTTTGCCATAGTGCTAAGCAGTGTATAAATGGGAGAGCATTTATCAAAATTGCTGCTGACATTGGGGTAGCAGCAGCAAGATGAGGAATCAGTAACCATTACAGACACTGTTGTTGGTCATGGCTAAATAGCTACATAAAAGTTTGATAAGCACTTTATTCTTGCTCTTTCATTCAGAGTTTTGGTTTTGTTCAAATCCTATCTGAAAGCTTTTGGAAAGCTTCGAAATGGAGCCAGACGTGTAATGGGATTGGGGAGCAAGCCACAGACAGTTCTGTGAAGACTTTTCTCCTGCAGTGGGCAAACATGTGCTTCCTGGACATCAGAGACCTCTTTCTTGTTTTACATTGTCACAGCAATCACATTTATGGATTTTTCCTGCCCTGCCAGACTTTCACTCTATGCAAAGGAGTGTTCTAAATTTAATTTGCATGCAGATAGAGTTTCTTTTTCTGCAGTTTTGAAGAAATGTTATCTTTACTGAGTAACTTAAACAGGCTTATATTTTGCAAAGTTCTGCCAAGATATGTTTTGTTACAGACATTACTTAGTCGAAACTTACATAAAAAGATTCAAAGAGCAAGTATTGGTGCAAACCCAAATGTCTTTGGTAATAAAAGGGGGGGGGGGAAGAAACTTGAGGAGTTATGACAAATGTTCACTCAGGCTTTTGGATATTAATTTTTTGGGTATTATTTTCTAAACATATAAATGAAATTAAATTGTTTTTTTAAACATTTCATTAAAGGAGATACTTTTCAGCATTAGCATTCATTGGATTACAACATTCATGTAATACTTTTGGCTTTTCTCTCTATTTATTTCCACCAAAAGCATGTCTGTTGTATGAACAGGTCTAATGTCATTGTTTTTCAGTATTGTTATATATATAGATACAGATTAAGAATAAAATACAAAGGTAATTCTGAATTACGTGGCTGAGGATAATTTGCATTTCTAGGCCATCTTTCAGCTAGAGAGATCCCAAAGCACTTTCACAAAAAAAAAAGGAAAATTATATGTAGAACTATTTCACCAACACTGAAACGCAGCAGCTGTTTAAGAGCAAAGAAAAATGCTAAGACTCTCTCTCTTACAATTGTAATGGAAATATGCATTTGAATAGGCAGAAGGTTATGCAAATCATATGGCCATGATGCTGGCGTAAGTGGATGTATTCCTGCGAAAGGTACCACGTGATTGTAGGTAGTCAGGACTTTCCTTTATCATGCTCTACTCCAAGTGTTATAAAAGACCTCCATTAAGAAAAAAAATTAATACTTCTCCATTTGGAATACCAGTGTTACAGTAGGCACCTACTGCTGTTCATGTTAATCATTATATACTGAAAAAAACCCCAATATTTTCTGTTAGAATAAATAAAATAATAGCTCATTCCAGAATAAGTGTGTCCACTCAAAGAGCTGTTCTAGCATATCCAGAGAGGTTTGTTGATAAAGATGTAAGAGCAAAACCTCTCCCATTGGAACATCTACAGAAAGAAAATATTTCTTGCTGAGTGAACACTTTGCAATGCCTCTTGTCCATCTAATAAGCAAATTCAATATGACTTAATCAGATGTTCTTTCCTTTAGTGAGAATTTTATCAGGTTTGTACTGACCTCAATGCATAGAAATTATTTATTTTTAAACCCATGATTAGGTTTAAAGCATTAATGAAAAAAAGTTTTCAATGCTTTGTTGAATTGCAAAGATAACAGATGCTCAGCTGAAAAATTGAAGCATCTTTCCACTGTTGAACTGTTTTGATCTTAATCTTTGCTGAGCCTAGAAGACTCCTCAGAATATTAGCTATAAACAAACATCACATGATAAAACACTAATGTTTTCTAGAAGTACTTTCTAACAGTAATTATGTATATTTTAATTATATCTTCACTGAAAATAGATATCCATGGCTTCTTGTGCTGTGCAGGAATAAATAAGGTCTGAATTTTGCAACAGAAATACCTTTGACTGACACTGCAATGCTGAATGGGACCTTGTATAGGTCCGATAGGGCAATGAACCAGTTGTGAAAAGTGTTGGAAACCTTCAACATGTATTGAAAATCAACCTGGCAATAAACAAAGGTGAATGTTATAATGAATAAGCATCACATTAGATTTGGATAATGAAAAGAAGTGTAAGTCAGATACTCTAGATACTCCACTGCTAGGATGTTAGGCTGGCAGCAGAAAGGAGATCCTCTTCTCAGGTGGAGACTTTGACTCTTCACCTTTTGAATTGTTTCAGAGACCAAGGGACAGAAGGCCCGAGTGCTGTACTTCAAGAGGAGGAACTTATTGGAGACCAACTAGTCAAAAAATGAAGAGTTGAGTCGAGAAAAGTAAGTCTTTCTAAGAGAATAAAAATGGAAATGCAACAAAAAAGAAAAAGATGCAGCCAC